GTGCCGTTATGATTTGACCAACTGATTTTCATTTCAGACCCGTCAGAAATACGCCTCAGCCCTTTTCCAATTTTCTCTTTTCTTGAGCTTTTTTTGTCGAGTTGTTTTTCGGATGTCAATTCCGACCGCCCACCCTTGTGAATTATTGACAGTGCCACCCCTCAACATTATTCAAAGAAGTAGAGCACTTTTTTGGGTCGTGATCACGGAAGGATATCATTGACGAGTTTCGGACAGTGCTTTCAAATCCTCACTTCAGCCGGCGGGATATTTATCCCATGACAAATCGCATAATCGAAAATCCAATATCTTGTTGATAACTGTAATTAGAAAACAGATTGCCAAAGCTGACTTCGGCACAGCAACATCGCTCGAACATTTCGACGCAAGTTTCGGAGCCAGTGGCCACGGCAACCAGACTTCCTGACTAAACTCGTTTTCGGTGATCCATCAGCATTTAATTAACATTGAAAATAACAGGGTTTGACAGGTTTTATCGCGCTTTGTCTAATCGTCCCTAATTTGACTCCATTACGACTGAAATCATAACGGTCTTAGAGCGGTTGGCTCTAAACGTTTTTTGTTGTGATTATTTTCATCGGCCAGAAATAATACGCTAAGGAACGCATTGCGCAAGAGGGCAGAAATTGCCTGCATTATTGAAAAGCGAAGTAAGAACTATGCGCAAATTTATCGCCAATTAACATACCCCCCCTCCGCATTCAACGGTGTCATTGACCGAATGAAAAATTAATGTAGCAATTTGCAGCACACGTTGCAAGAAGAGCATAAAAATGAAAAGGGCTTGAAGGAGAGACTAAGCGGCCAAAGGAAGACCTCCAGAAGAATCTCTGGATAAGTTCAAGAAGTTCGATATTTTAAGATGGATAAAAATGGCAGGAAACATAAGTCTGTGGCAACGTCTTGCAGAGATCTTCATCCAGACGAGATCCAAAAAAGCTGATAATGATCATCTTTTCTCAGCGAAGAATGTGCAACGCATCATCCAGGATTACGACTAATTTGCTAACGAACTGGAATTTGCCTTATACTTCACAGAGAGCAGATCGGCGGTTATGGACGTCAAGAATTAGAAACTGACATCCTCCAGACCAAAACGTCCATTCTTCCATCCAAGAGCACGATCGATCGATGCTCAATTTACTTGAGGCGGAAATGGAAAAATAGAGAATGCTCTGTTCATAGTCTACCCCATAATGAGGATGAGTGGAGTGACCGAAATAGGAAATATCCTTCTTTACCGTGCCAGGAACTTAGTCAAGGTGCGAAGAAGTAATGCTATAAAAGTGCCTGCACATCCTAAACTTGCGAAACGTCTGCTCCAGCATTTTTGGCCGAATACGTATGGACAAGTGCGTCAATGAAATGAGCCATTTAAAAGTAAAGCTTTCGGATGCGTCAGTTTCGCAACCTTTGAGGTCATCTTGAGATCCATATCTAACATTGGGCAGCAATAAAATGCAACTATTGCGAATGCTTCTGAACCTAAACTTTCGCTTTATTATTTGCGGTACGAGACAGATCTCCAAAATCCCCATTCCTGGGGTCCAAGTCTATTGAAGGGATGGGACATGGGCACCTAGGCTTTTCATTAAGCTCTTATGTACAATGTCAGCGTTTTCTTTTATTTAAATTATTCTCTGCATGTTTATCATTTAGCTGGGACACCAAAGGCGTCAGGAAGCCGGTCTGTTGCCAACCTGCAAAAGTGAGAAGACAAACTGTCTGTTGACCCGCTTGACCTTCCGACAGCATCGCGGTAGTTCAGGGAGTCATTGGAACATCTAAGATATCCGTGATGTCCCCCGTTTCACAATTATCATCAATTTCAGCTGTGCAGGCGGTCGAATGATACCGAATGCAGTGCACGTTGCCCTCCTTAACACCGTGAAACCTGTAAAGGAGTGATTTGCAATGCAGCCATGAGAAATGATCAAAAGTCACCGTATGGCAATATCTGAGGGGATTCCGTTTTTCAATTCTTTGATCATCTTAGCAAACCTCTCACTCATCTTAATTAATGTTTACCTTTTCTTTCTCTAAGGTTTTAGCCAAAATATAGAAGTAAAATATTTCCAAAAATGAATTCACTTTGGCGTCTTTGATTCCAGAGAGCTGGTTATGTCTTATGTAACAAATGGCATGCAAGCCAATACGTTGTTAGCAGCAGTGAGGGCGTACGAACCAGAAAATAAGATGCTCAAAGAGCGGTTGTTAATTTCGAACAAACTCTGAAGGAAACTTCTGTACTTCACTATGGTACTTGCTGACTTCTGCGCAAAATCAAATAGAGTACAGAATAAGTACCCATGTATAGAGTTTGTTCCGATTCACTGCTGAAGCACAATAATTATAATCGTTTAACTGATCGACTATAAGCATAATGCAAAGACACTGATATTATCACTGGATAGCTGTTTTGGATAACACAGTGATCACATGTCAGGAATGAACAAAAGGGAAAACAGACCCAAAACAGCCTTTTTACTCTTCCACACCGTTAAAAGCAATAAATCATTTAAAATTATATAAAATACAACCAAATTGCAATGCCAGTCAGTCAGTCAGTTTACATGATCGCTTATCCTTTCAGGTCGCGGTGGTTGACGCGTTGAACAGTGCCTTCAGCGTTGCTGACTATGCCTCAGCGTGTGAGGTTCACAGAAAATTAACCGAGTCAGGAGCACAGTCTTTTGATACACTTCCCCAAGGCTATTCTTGGCTGTTCTCTGGGTCTTCGGCCAGTCGATTAAGGAAGAAGCAGTAAATTGATCTTCTATTTCCAGAATCATTCGAAGATGTACCCAAACCAGTGCAGCTGTGATTTTTAAACCTGGAGAATCAGCGGCTGTACGCCAAGGCTCTCTCGGATCTCTCACTGCAGACCATGTCGTGAATCTTCAGCCCAGGGATTCACGTTTCAGCCGTTTGTAACCGGGGCTGAATCTTTTCGGTCATGGCCCTCGATTCATGACCGTAGGTTAGCATGTCAGAGCTTTAGCGCGTTGTAACTTAAGTCAGATGATTGGCACTCTTCTACTGGCATGCTTCCAGTCAGTGATTGCATCAGCCAAGCTGTGTTCCATCAGAACACCAACAGGGGTCTATGCGCCCATCTTGACGTCGACATACGGAGTAGAATACCATGCACCGACAGAAGTTCAGAATTCCAGAGCCTTGTCGCTCTGTTGACGAGAGTCAA